AGTTCCTCTGCTTTAAAAAAAATACTTTTTTTGATGCGTTAGCAAACTTCTGGAAGAGTTCAACAAAGGAAGAATATACTTCTTAAGGACATACAGACCGTTGGAATGTTACCCAGTCATAATCGGAAACATGCTTGTCAAATCTCTGACGGTCAACTATTTCAATCTGGCGGATTTGAGTATTGGGCACAGCACCCACTACACCAGGAAATTCCAACTGACATGCTATAAAGTAGTGGTCTGATAGTTTCTGGGTTATAACAGCTGATTTGATTGTTGAGAAAGGTGCCCTTAGGTTAATGTGATCAATGGATGAGCTGACAAGTCTTGTATTTAGATATTCTTCTCCTGTCGGGGCTTGAATAGATGGTTCTATTCCGCAGTCGGCCAATAGAGTGAGGTATTCACAAACTATAGCTTTGGAAGGCTTTAAGAGGTCAATGTTAATGTCTCCTGTAAGACAAAGAGGTGCAGTGAGTGGCAACGACTATATACAGCACCGAAGTTCGGAGAGAAAGTCAGGAATGCTATCCGAAGGGGGTCTATAAATGGCCAGTAGGTAGAGTTCTTATGTAGAAGTAAAGACACGTAACGCCAGTGACTCACATGATAGGAATGATACAGAACTTTCCGAATATAACAATGTGGATTTGAGAAAAACAGCAATACCACCACCGCGCTTTTTGTCGCGAGTATAAAAGAAATTGTTGAATCCGGGTAACAAAAACTGTCCAATGTCGTCACTATGGATACTAATCTCTGTGAGAATGAGCACATCAGCTATCGGAAGCACGCTATCTACGGTTAATCTAAACTCATCCCAGTGCTTGCGCAAGCTCCTTATGTTGACATGGAATAACGTAAAAGATGTCCCTGTGTTCACATTAAAGTGTTCAGTGCAAGACTTGAGGTCCTTAAACTGAGAAAATTGAGCCATTAAGGTCTACACTACACTTAAACTGAAAAAAAAATGCGCCATTAGGGTCTACACTATTTGCTCCAAATCAAAAACATTCATAATGCGAAGCAAAGTTGATCCTTCGCATTTTTTGGCAAAAATGTGACCATGTCGAACCCACACAAACTTATAGCCCGTTTCCTTTCCTGTGGTTCTCGCCATCCAGAAGAGTTTTTTGTTGTAGTCGGTAAGATTGTCATTGAAATAGATTCGAGGCTGCGAGTCTCCGGAAGGAATAGAACTCAAGCGGCCACGACTCATCATCCAGCGTTCTTTTAGTGGAGACGATGAAAAACGAACCAGTATGGGGGGCACGGCATCACGTCTAGCAGGCAGGCGATGCGCTTTCTCGACATGCGCTGGCTGAAAGCCTTCAATGCTCAACTGCCCTGCAAGGTTAGTGAGAATGCCTCCAAGATTCTCATTTGGTTGAAAGGGAATGCCATGTATTTCAAGGTTGGACGTACGATTGGATTGATCGGCGTCGTTCTGTACCGCTCTCAGCTGCTGTATTTCAAGCGCCTGGTCCGATATTAATGACCTCAAGGCCTTGGTTTCTGTCTGAAGCTCTTTGACAGCTTTTTCGTGGGCTTCCGACGAATTCACCAGCGAATCATACTGAGAAGAAACAAAATTCAGGGGTGCTTGCATCTCATTAATGGAGTTGCGCATAGTATCGATCGTTAGTTTCAATGACAACAAGGCATCAATTTTTGGGTGCATTTCTTGAAGGTTATCCACGGCGTCTTTGAGAGAAAGTAGGCGATCAAGTTTCTGGTGCACCGTCGAAAGCTGATCTAAGAATCCAGGTGGCTCCACTTGCGAGGACGGGGAGTTGATGCTTAAGTTGGATTTTGCTTGTCCTTCACGGCATGCGAGGCATCGCCACTTGTCAAGTTTGGTTGCGCTCATACCTTTAAACGTGCCGTCGGCAATGCCAGAACATTTTTTACCTAAATGATAGTGGCTAGAACAGTCACAGCACCTCATGTTTCTGCCGTCGGTTGTCATAGGATCGGAGCAAGCACCACACACTGCAGGATTGGCCATGACCACAAAACAGCGACGACAAAGAAGTGGCACGAGACGGTGCAACGCAAATACGATTAAGAAGGACAATCCAATGTAGTAAAAAAATTCCAGGCTCACCCGCGAAATTAAATGCACCTTGGCGGCATTGCACGTGAGGCACCGGCGTCTGTCGTAGCTGAGCACTCTCCGCAGACAGTGCAGGAAACGTTCTGAATGTCCGCGGGTTTCTTGTCAAAGCCGTCGAACTCAGATGGTCCCGATGAGGCTCAACCACGGCGCTACAGCTTTCGTTGACAAGAGCTGGGTCTGATGTGGTTTGGTGGTGAGTCTTGAGCGATTATGTTGCGCCCGGGCACACGGAAGCGGTCTTAAAAAACAAAGACGGCCGTTGAATAAATCAAGGCGAGCATGCAGGTGAGCGAGGGATCACCATAGAGCATTTTTCTGCCTTGCGCATAACGGAAGGGTGTTGAGCGACTTCCATAGGCGCTGTCTTCGTCTTGGGTTGATAGAAGGACGTCGAAAAAGGTCTTCAATCGGCGAAATCATTAAACATTTCGAAAATGTTTAACCGAAACCAACATCCGAGCCCGGCGACTTCTTCTTCTTCTTATATTTCTAATTCTTATTCTATTCTAATCTTATTCTAATAATAATAATAATAATAATATTATTATTAATATCAATAATATTTTTTTATTATTTCAAAACACTACGTATCCACGTCGCAAGTCAGGTTCGTCAAAGCGAGCCAGGGGTTGTGTGACTGAACCTAATCTGCAGTGGTCTCATTAAATTAACTATACCAAGTAGTGAAGAGATTTGAATCAGTTCCAATAACAATTGTGAAACTCAGAAAAAATGAAAGAAAAACGTAGACACGAGGGAAAGCAAGTATACGCACACATGCATACATGCACAGACACGCAAACAAGTCATTTTCACCGTTCAAAGAAGGTCTTGAGAGGTGGTATGTTCTTGGTGTTGTTAATCTTTAGGCAGAAAAGCTGGGTGGTGTAGACGTTGTCATATAATCAAATTAAAACAAAATCGAATAAAATATAAAGTCTGGTGTTGAACAATTTTAAAATGTGTGAAGTATTATCAAATAAAAATTTAAAGAATTACACTACCCGTCGGTAAATAAAAAATAGCGAAGGGCTTTTTTAAGTTCCTTTTTGTATGTGAAGTCAAAGAAGTCGGACGGTAAGGAATCAAAACTCCGAGAAACTAAATAATAATACAATAATAATGATAAATTAAATGCCTCACTAACGCCTTATAATGAACCCTTTATCGCAAAGGTCAACAAGAGAATCGTCACCTCTGGGCTTTCGCTTAATGCCCTGACTCTGCACTAAGGAGAACTGTTTTACACCGATAGCTCCTTATGGGCTCTTCCCACCACTGCAAATAACGTCCGTCGTTGTTGTTTTGTCTCTAGTCGTTGTTAATGTTGTAGTTGATGTCGCCTAATTCTTGAAAAAGATTATCTGCCGCCCACGGGAGTCAAACCTGGGTACGCTGCGTGCGAAGCGGAGGTGTTACGGCAGAGCTACAGCACAGCGTTAAGAATCATCTTTACACTTAGGTTTGTTATAGGGAGCATTCACTGGCGGCCATAGCTGTATGCGCGAATGCTGTGCCCGTGCTGACGGCGAGCTTCACGGTTCTTTTGCAGCGTGCATTCCACACCATCAAGAGTGCCGGTCTTAGCAGCCTCTTGGTGTGAGCTCGTTCTGAGCATGCGCACTAAACAGTACCCACAGATATGGCGTCCAGTGAATACTCCCTATAGTACCCAGTGCCCACTTCCATAGCCTCCTCTGTACCCACAAAGCCTGGCAGTTCGACGACGGCGCCATAGAGTGCTCGGTCGCAGATTTGGAGTGCAAGGATCTGGCAGCACGGAGACTTTCTCCGGGAACCTTGACGTCGGTGCACACCTTTTGCATCGGCGAGCTCTCGAAACGTGGTCTTTCAATCCGACGAGAACAGGCGCGGTACCACGAGGAACGCGAAGAGCACCCGAGCGGACATTCCATTGTTCCGAAACAGTGTGTTTCGGAGTCTCCCTGTGGTGGAGCGCCCTTCACGTTGCTCTCTTCTCATGTGTTGTCTGCCGCTCTACCTTTTCAATTTCGGCGGCCGCCTCTCGGGACGACCTGCCAGCCTTTGTCAGTATAGAGGACACTGTGCCACTACATGCACTCCGGAATAATACAAATTAATACCCCCTAACAAAATACCATCGTAGCACTGTGCCAAGAGCTCATGCCCGAAGATGCGCTTTCACGCCGCTCCGGAACAAAAAAGAAAAAAAAAACAGTTTTAGAAAAAAAACGTTTTTATTTGTTAGCGTTTTTTTCATGCGCCCCACGACGCATGAACACTACGACCGTTCGCCGTGTCTTGTCGCCGCTATTCCTGTAGCTGTACTGTGAATTAACACAGGACTACTCAATCGTTCTCTAGTGCGTCCTGGCTAAGCGTGATCTTAATTCTCAACCACTGGATAATCACATGGAGCGCCGTATAAGTTATTCCGAAATCGTAGTGCTGGGTTTCCTAAAAAATACAAAAGCGATATTCGATCAAAGACAATAAAAATCTTCTGCTTGGAGCTCATTGACTTCGCCTGAGAATATATAAAAAACACGTAAAATAGAACGCATTTCTTTTCCTACAGGCCTTTGAACCGGATTGTTTAACGGGTCTAAATTAAACTTTGGTTTTACGGTATACCTAGAGCCAGGGTATTTTATGCGCGCCTCAAGCCGAAAAGGTTGATGCACGTAAAGGCACGTGTGCGAGAATAATATGTTTTCTTGCTTGAACAATAATTATTGTTCCCCAGCAGATGAGTGACAGGTTATTTTTCGCTAACAAAAATAAGAAAATGCGATCGTCCATTGGAAACCTACATCTGAGAGTAGCAACAAAAGCGTAACGCTATCCTAAGATATACACCGTTCCTGCGTGTATATGCATGTGTAAACCTCCAGTGACAATGATCGTTCTCTTTCTGGGAATCCTGTTCTTATGTTACAGTCATGTTACTTTATCTCAAAATAGCACAGGGGATTATCCTGATGCCAACGAGGTAAGAAAATACCATTCATGTAACCCGTTTATAGGGACGTAATGGATAATGTGTTTTGTTTAGTAGCTTAAACCCCTTACATGAAGGTGCGTATATGCACGTATGAAGTTTGGATTGTGAGGATGACGCTGTCGGCAGGAGCGAGGACAGGATAGCAAAAGATGAGAGAACAGACAAAGAAATTATGAAGGCAGGCCGTCACGTGGAACCTGGCTCAAGATGGTTGTGCGCCTTACTGCCCCGTCGTCGTCTTACCCTTGCTGACAGTATGTTCAATATGAAAGGGAACTTTCATCGCGTGACAGGTGGCTGCTAAATTAATACCAGCATTCTTACACCAATCATGAGCTTTAACAACTAATGTCCATGGGCAAGATCTTATGCAAAAAATGTCACGCCCGAGTGTCACAAAATATCGTTACGCACAGGTCGAGTCAACATAATAAATGCACACCCCATAGTAGGCAATCCGTGATATTCCAAGAAAAAAAAGTATCAGTCGTGATAATTCATACAAGCTTACGATCTGGCCAATTACAAAAAAAAAAAAAAAGAGAGAGATCAAGTGAGCAGCTCAGTGGGTATCAAACTCTCGAACATGCGAGGCGCCGAACAAAAGTCTTTGCTCGGAGCGACGGAAAGTTCTCTTCTTTCTTTTTAAATGGTGGGCAAGAAAATTACTGTAACTCAGTTTTCTATGCTTTCAGAGGCACGATGAAATAAACCACCTCGTATTTTTGTAGAAAGATTAAAAACCTCGCATCCAGAGCACGGCTTCAAAAATACTTGTGCACTACTATGGATGTTCAACCGCTAGGAACACATTTTACAGCTGAAGTACGCATATACGAAAAGTAACCTGCAGTTTCTTCACATCAGTATCAGCATGGCGAACCGACATTCACGAGTGTTTTTAATATGCTAAATAATTCTAGTAGCGTCAGCATGTCATTGGGAAGATCGTCGTAAGAATCTACGAATCCCAGTCGTACGTAGACAACTAAAAATATTATATTTTTATTCTGTGCTAGAGGACGTCCCAATTAAAGTATAGCATCCCAACAAAACCTAGATAGGCGAACGCGTGGCTCGACCGAGCAGCGCAGGCCAGTTTGAATATGAGCACCATTGAGACTAATCGCCCAGTCTCCGTCTTCCCCAAATTATTTGGTTGAGGTCTTGCGGAGTATCCGCGTCGCTAAAGAGAAGTTTATTGCACTCTGAAGCTTTGAAATCGACGACTGTCAGCTGTGATGAGCTCCTATAAAGAATCCTCCACGGGCGTTCCAGCCGCTGTAGCCTGCCCTGCTCCCAGCAAGTCCGACATCCTAAGGTTTTTGCTGGACTCCTTGAAGATGACGTGGAAGATTGGCTGGAAGTTTACAACAAATGGGATGATGGGGATATGCCCTGGAATGTTATATTTTTCCTTTCCAATGTGGCTCAGATATGGTTTACCAACCACCAAGATGAGATCGGTACATGATTACGTTCCAAAATTCAACTAGCCAATACAAACGACGAATTTAGGCAAAATAACAACCGAAACAAAAATATAATGTGTTCGAGTTTCGCCAGCATTCTGATGACCCTTATATATTACTAATATACCTGTCCCGGCGCTATATAAAAATTACCCCGTCGTCCAACTTTGTAAGTTGCTAAAATAATAAAAGACTTTTACAACTCCGTGTAATGCCAAATCAGAGTGCAGCTCTGGAGGAGGAGGAGGGGAGGGGTGTGCGAAAAGGAGGGTATGCTTTTTCTCTCTCTCTCTGTGCCCTCTCATCCTCCTACTCCTCTTCGTCTCCTTCCACTGCCCACCTCCTCCCTCTCCCACTCCTCCTCACCTCTTCCTCCTCCCTCCTCCTTCCCCTCGTCCTCTCCCTCCCTGCCTGCCCCCTCGTGACGTCAATCGTGACCCTCGTGACGTCATTCGTGAAGGCCTCGTGAAGTGAAGGTCGTGACATTCACGAGTGACCGTGACGTTACGCGTGACGTCACGTGTGATGACAATATAGGAACCGTACCATGATGAAATTCACGGGATCCTCGTGACATCACTCGGGATATCACGGTGACGTCATTATGGGAAACGTCCCATAATGCAACGTGCGGTCACGAATGAGACCCGCGCGTTGCACCATAGGACGTTTGCCACATTGCAACGCGCGGTTACGCCGACGCCGACGGTGACGGCGAGGCCGCTGAAGCCAAAAACGGGCGCTTGCGCTCTAAAAAACAAACCAAAAACACATAGGGCATAAGGTATACGGGTTATGAAATATAATTATTTTTATTGTAACCTATGCCCGGCAGCTTTTATCGAGCAGCCATTTTCTGCCTTCTCTCTACTTTCAAAGATATCGGGCGTGCATGTGATGTTTTATACCAGAGGTGGCCAAGCTGCGGCTCGCGAGCCGCATGCGGCTCTTTGCGTGTTAAAGTGCGGATCGCGGCTCCTTGCCCTCCCTACACACACACACACACACATACACACACTCCCCGCCTCCCTCCCGGTCACAGGAGCACTTCCCGAAAAGACAAATGGAAGGCGTTTTAAATCGAAAGACAGGTTACGGTTTGACAGTCTTGATACCTGTGCCACTCTACCTTGAGTGCAGGTGGGCTGCTTTTGACTAGGATAGATCCAAAGTAGTTCGAGTTTCGTTTAGTGGCCTAAACTAAATGTGCCCCCCCCCCCCCCCCCCCCCCCCCCAGCCCCCCGCGTCTTGTTGAAGTTTCGTGGTTTTGTTTGCGGCTCTTAGGCCGGATCAGCCCGGCAACTCCTGTTTTCTACTAAAGGACCAGCACTTTCACACATGTGCATGAGCAGGGTAAATAAAACAATAAATACTCTGACTAAGAAGAAGACAAAGTGAACATGTCAATGTTCTTCTTGTCTTGCTTGAGGGTTGACGGTTGTTGTTCTGTCGACGGTGGGAGTTTTTGCTGTCTATTAAGAAGATTCCGATATTAAAATGTGTAGTTGTGTTTAGAGACACCGTTGGGCTCGTTCCCTTGGTCCGCACATGGGTTGGGCACAGTGCTTTTTCATGTTTTGGATGGCCATGAACAACAAATCACATACCCCTCACAACTCCTTAGCAACGGATTCACCATAAAGTAACGCATTCACCATCAACGCGAACATAATGGAATGTCCAGCTGTCAACTAATTCAAAAACACCGCGCCGCGCCTTCACGTAACAACCTTGGAGTGGCCGACAGAGCGTGAGGATTCCACCGGATTTCGGTTACAGCAGTCCTCACTGGTTGCTGGTTCTTGTGGACTCCAGATGGGCTAAGGTCGTGTGCATGTCGGTCACAACTTCTGCGAAAACCGCAGAAAAACTACGATCAAATTCGCGATTTTCGGACTACAGGAAATCGTAGTTACAAAGTTGTTTTTTTTTTTTTTTTTGTCAGAGATAAAGCGAACCTTTGCGGAGCTAAAATGCGTCTGCGTTTTTTGCAGTGGTTTTGGTGGCGTCAGAACGACGCCGAGTTTTGATTGGTTCTGAATGAAGGATAGTGGGCGCTCCTGAAGGCAGCTTGTTTAGAGGTCTATTCACTATTTTTCAACCAAAGGGAATCAGAGCTCGGAGTCTTTCTGACTTTACCTGCACTCCTGCAAAATACATCAGAAGCCGTAACAATTTTACCACCCTGTGCCCAACGGGGTAACGTGTGGTTAAAGCTTTCAAGTATGTCATAAGTGCTTTCAAACACGGTTCAAGTGCGCGCTCGCCAGCAACCAAACACGCTCAGCGGCTGTGTATTTTTTTTTTTTGTGACTCACATGGGCATATGTTTTACGTAGTAGAGAAAAGAGCGAAGGGTAGGGGGGGGGGGGGCTTTAGTATTTGGCTTAACGGCTGCAGTGTTTCAGTTGTACACGGTCGCCGCCTTGGAGTTGATGCATGTTCTCGGAGGTTTGCTTGCTTACGGCCCTAATGGTGTTCTTTTACGCGCAATTATTATCACTGGTTGCTGACAGCCACTATCCGCTAGCCATCGTTTAGCCACCGCTATTTTTGCTAGTTCGTCCGCCTGTTCCGTCACCGTCAACGCCGCTTGGTTTACTGGCACGAGCCGTCTTATCTGAAACATAGATAGCTAAAAGGCCATGGTCGTCTCGTGCTTTCGAAAAGTGTGAGGCTCGAAAGAGTGTGAGCCAATCAGAGCACTGGATTTGCTTCATGTTTGTACTCCATGAGAAAGTTCCAATACAAACCACGGCTCCGACGCTCGGTGACCCATGCCTGCGTGTACTTCGCAGAGCGTGTCATTTCTCCGTCGGCACCAGACAGCGACCTGCAGTCTTACACAGCACTACAGAGTGAAGGAAGTCAACAGGGGCAAAGGCGTTATAAACCGGAATTTCGGGCAGAGGCCCGCCAGAAGCTGCCTCGGCTGCTTTTCAAGCCGAGGCAGCTTGGGGGGAAGTGGCATTAGCTGCCATGGTGTCGACATAAGCTTCTTTCGGTGAGCCTGCCAGCATAACCCATAATATGAGGTGCCCCGAATGAATTTCAATGATTTGTTTCCTGCGCACTATGGGTGTAATTGGTCACTGCTAAAGTAACTTTGTAAGGGCACAAATTAACATTAGGCTTATAATAATTACAGTTATAGTGTTTTACTTTTATTATGCTGGTTTAAGCTCCACCTTCTTTCCTGCGCTTTGCTTCGGGGGTTGCCAACGTATTTAACATAGAAGAGTTCCATCCATTTCCTATAGATACGGAAAAACGCCGATTTTGACGTAGAACTGCGTGTTTCTTCGCACTGGCAAGGGTGTCCAAAGCTGCGAAGTCGATGCCACGGAAACGTGATTACAGAAGTGACGGTACGCACGTCAAAGTTATTTTCAAGTTATATTGAACTCGGAAAAAAGTAAACAAAAGAACCCGAGAGCTCTCACGCGTGACGACGCTCCTCGCAGTGCGATACACCAACGACGCGGCAAACATGCCATCGTCTCCGCCACGGAGGCACCGTGGGCCCCTATCATCCGTATGGGCTTCTCACAGAAAAAACTTCGTATGGGATTTTAAAATGGCCTAATAGCGCTCCCAGTTTTTTTTCGTCGACTTCCTTCGCACGAAATTCCGCATATGCGACTCAGACATGGCGGCGCGGGGTGCTGCGTAATTGCTTCTACGGCACTCTGAGCCACAGGCATTCACTTCTGACGCAACCGCCATCGTCATACAGCAGGATTCAGGGGACGCATTCCTAGCTGGCATAAACAATATATTTCAGACGAGTATACAAGGCACGACATCAATTAAATCACTTCGTTCTTATTTCTTGTGCCACTCACACGTTGTTGAATAGAAATTTCGGCAGCATAGCACGCCTATGCACCGACCAATTTTAAATTATTTAAAATGAACGGTGATGCATTACTTTGAATCTTAACCGAATTATACAATGAAATATAGAAAAAAAATATTTTGTAAGTAGCATGAATAGAAAACAAATGCTGCAGTACATGTTCTTCAGGTTTTCTTTTTGCTACTTCATTTCTTACGCATACACGTGTTTTTCCCTTCTGTCCTTTCAGGCGGTTACATTGAGGTGATTGACCATTCTATTTAACTAACTAAATACATTTGCAGGTTATGAAGAAGCTACCTCAAACATTCTTGCTTCATTCACTTGGAAATTATTCGAGTTTAATATGTGGTTACCAACATTTCTACAATGAGACCTTGGGAGCTCAGACTTATAGAAAATATAACTTAATATTTAAGTACCCGAAACAAATGTAAGTACTAAATGTATTAATACAATTTAAAAGAAAACTGTAGTGTGCGTGTATCACAAAAAAAACTTGACTTTCAACCTGTTTACTTTGCAGATATAGTCAACCTCTCTATGTAAGAAATGTGACTGGGTACAAAATTTTTATGGACACTGATCCAGGTGAGCTCAGGTTAATTCTTTAAATTCTTAGTTTGTTCATTCGGAGAAGCAATGATATAACGATCAACGTCCGAAGTCTTTTGCGAAAAAAAAGGATATTGGCTTATGAGTATTCTTCGTTCGGATTATTCACAGAGTCTGTAAGCAATTGCGTATTCTTTTATAGTTATGCCAACGAAAATTAGGAAATACTCTTGATATTTTTAAGACAATTTTGCAATTCGTAATTTAATTGCTTTATATTTACGCAGATATGATGGCTGTGTCTTATTCTTTTTGATTTACTTGACAAGCTTTTGATGCGGTTTTCTTTAAACGTTGGGCTGATGTACTTAAGGAGGAAGTAGGCGGTGTTAATATTGTGTATGTGATACGAATGTATGCCAGTACGCTGCGTGCCAGCTTGCTCCTTACCTAACTGAATATATGTGCCACCAATAGCATTTCAAGTCCGTATGCAGTCTGTGGTAACGTTCTAATCTCGAAAGTATGGGTACGCTTTAAGATAAAAATTAGCAGAGAGCCCGTATGCTTCAAATGCTGCAGCAATCTCTGCCGCAAAGTTGTCACAGATTGTTTTCTACCCAATATATTCGCAATAACCTTGTTTTGCGAAACTACGCTAACTTGGTCGAGTTTTTTTTTTGTGGCTATATTTCATATACTTTTCGACAGACCCATGGATTCCTGCGACATTCAGTCACGAAATATTGTTTTCGAACATGAAATCTTGTATGATAACAAGAAACCCAAACCCAAGGTTTCCGAAAGGTTGGTGCCAAAATCTATCTCGTGAACAAGTGGTGTCTGTTGACGGTTCAAAGTATTTACATCAACTGAATGTTTAGAGTTTAGTGCATCTACATTAGTCAATAGAATGGAGCGCAAAACAATATTACCTGTGGTCAAGGTATTAAATGAATTTTAAAAATACAACATTCGTTTTTAGTTCTGCGATTTAGCAGTAATCTTAGCCACAATTATGAAAAAGCATTTGGCTGTGGAGTGGCATCCACCCCTAAAACCAGAAACGAAATCATCTCGCACTTACAAAGAAGCCGAGACGCTGTCCCAACTTTAATTCTGCTTGCGAAATCCTGTAACTTGACACGAGAATTAGTTTATTCTGACATAACTTGACCTGTGCCAGGGGAGGAAAAGAGAGATACAATAATGAACAGAAGGTAACGGCGCAAGTGAGCTACTGCACATCAAACATTTTTTTGAAAAAAATCCTAGACTATGGTATTGACAGACGACGACAAGGAAGAGAAGGAGAACGCCTTAGACGAAGTTTTCTTTTTCTTTCCTGTCGTCGTCTGTCGATACCTCCGTCTCAGCTTTTTCGCATAAATGTAACATATAAAAAGCGGTAACATGGTTGTTGTTATGTTCCTGAAGTTATAGCGAGTTTTAGGTTGACATAGTAGGATGAAGACTTGGGAGGTTTGCATATTCACGATTATAAACGACGCCCGCCATATTTCCGAATTTGAAGTTACTCGTCTCGTCTTCTAATTTCGCGCACCTCGAGATATTGGTTTGCCGCAATTTCTTTTTCCTAAAAAGTTTCTGGTGCTTCTAAAGTTTAACCGGTAGTCTGTGTTCGGTGCACAGGGCGGTCAACGCTATCTCTTCGGGACGCAAAACGCTTGAGCGTGCTTAAGAGATTGGGAAAATATCAATTAATCTACTTATCAGCAGTTTTTATGAAAGTCAATGTTCATTACGTCTTACTTAATGACCATCTGCTACAGTAACGGTTTACTTCTACTCCTCCGAGATTAACCTTATAATTTTTTTTATCTGCCAAGTTATATTTCTGTTACAAATGTGTGGGGTAATTTATTTACAAGACAGTTGCTACGACAGTTTTTTAATCACTGGATACTTTTTATAAGTATAAAAAAAATTCATGCTTCGAAGCTTCTATACCTCATTTCATCATATGTTTGAGCGCAGTCAAAATATTAATAATAGTAATAATAATAATAATAATAATATTTATTGTTCTCTTTTACAATACAGAAAATCGGGTCCGTCAAAGCCTAGTGACTCGTACAACGGGGCCCGGCAGCCGGAATTAGTTATCTATAAACGCTACTATTTTCGTTGAATAACCAAACAAAACAACAACAATACGTCAGTGACAAGTTCATTTACTTTGATTTTATACATGAATATAAGGCGAAAAAATTACTTTGTTGTTTCATTATCAGAACTAAACAGTTGACATACAAAATATCACGCCCACCAAAAAAAAGAGAACATCCTCTTTTTATTATCAGAGCCAAACAATAAAACGGCAACGTTTAATCGTAAGCATTTAGAGCAAAACAATTCTTGTAAGGTGAAGTAACTTACAGAAGAGAACAGCAATGTATACAAAAATGTTTACGTCTGATTTTGCAAGCACCATGTTCTAAACTTGTTTGTAACTTGTATTAAAATTCCTAACTAATGAATTCTTCTGGTATCTTATATTAAACATGAATGACATCAAAACTTATCATTCCTTTTTCGTAATCCGTGTTTATTCTTCGCAAATAATATCTGCCTCTATTTCTGAGAAGGTTTCTCTGTACCGAATGTTTGTATTCTTTTTTGGAGAAGTAATTAGTTGTTATAGCTATATATATATAAATAAAGAACTCAATTGCGTTATATAAAATGCTTTTTGTTAATGAGGTCCAAATGTTGAACATATGTACCTTATGAGATATTGATGCAGTGAATAAACAGGTAGAGCAATAACGAACACACACACTAAAAGCAATGTTTAGGGCATGGCTACGCGACGATATAACGGACACATAAATATAAAGTACATAATAACATTGCAGTTTTGAAGTTTTTTTTTTATTGGTCTCATCGGCTCGTAGAGTAGACGGCGCCCAAACTGAAGATGAAACGAAGCATAGCTATGCATAGGTAGTTGATAACGCTGCAATAATAGATTCAACCAATAGAACAGTGCTCATCAAACTCGTCTAAGACTTTGTATTATCTTTTTCTGAACTCATAGAAGCGCTATTTTGGCGGCATCCGAAGAACTACGGCTTTATATAGCGCTCAATCGAGGAAGCAGTCCAAGCAGGGGTGACCGCTCGCTCAAGACTAAAATTCCACCTGGACAGGAGAAAAAAAACAAGTTTGGCTATGATGCAATCTTAGGCTATACTGTCAAAACGTCAAATGTTTACTGATTAAAATATCCAAACATTGACTTTGCAACGTAATTAATCTATGCGCCTTTATACGAAAGGGGGTGGTTAATATTGATTGGCCGGCCGGCAAAAATATTGTCGTGTCCACGATTCAGGAAGTGGGCTCCCCTGCTTGGATTTTTCTACGGCCCCTACGTCGAGCCGTTCTTGAGCCGCCGACAGGAAAGATCCTCCTTGAAATAAGACACCGTTTGTGTGTCCCGCTTAAATTTGGTGACCACTGTACATACAGACTTCTTGAGGCTGACGGCTTCCCCTAAAAAGTGTGGAAACAAAAAAATCAATTCGTCACAAAGTACTCCGTGCCAAATAATACTTGCTTCGTTCAGCTGTGTGCCGTTAACATACATAAGATAGGAGCGATTGGTCAGTCATTTATAAGCGCACGTATGAAATGCAGAAACTACGCACTTTCGTATTGTGTAATAAGAACGTTCCTTATACAATTCAATCAAAGTATCACGTTAAAAAAATAAGTGTCGTGTTCCTATTAAACAAAACATAATAAAGCAGCTAAATGAATGCAAGTGCTTTCCACAAGAGAACAAATTACGTAACGACTACACTGTAGCCATAAAGCAGGGCTGGGCTGTACCTACTTTACAATTGTATGGCGATAGTTTATTAAATACATATTCTTGTATCCATAATTCTATATCGAAATGCCCAGACAGGTATAAAGGAAAAATAGATTTTACACGACAGTTCGATGTTATACTTAAAAATGATTTTATTTTTCAGCCTGTAGCCTGATGGTCACAAAAGAATGCTTTTCTGCACCTCTAATAAGATGCCGACAAAAATTTGAACAGCACTGCAAAGGTCCTGCATTCAACTATAGTATAACTAACTGTCCTTACCCGGAGACCCTGATCTAAAATTTTATAAACACTTTAAAGGTCGCGAAATTTTATTATGCAAGATATATAAAATTTATATTCGAAACCTCCTCGTTTCCCTCTCGATTTATTCGTTTGAACACCCCAAATTGTCAAAGTGATGAAAAGGTACAGTACTGCGTTAAAATGTTTATTTTTTTTTACGGGGTGTTTCTTTTCTTTTTTTTTAGCTGCACCAAATTTTCAACAAAAAAAAGAAGAGCTGCGTTAGGGCACTTTTAGTTACGCCATTAGAATGCCAGACCTTGCGCCCACTAGTAACCAAATATTTTGTGCAACTAGGCGACTAATCAGCGTAGATCTCTTAATTACGTTTTTAATTATTGTTTTTAGAGGGCCTATTGCATCTACGAAATTGAAGCCCAACCTTAACATGCTCCAACCCCACAGTGAAGTAAAGGCACAAACAATTTCTGCGCGCGTTTCTGGCTAAATTATTTCATTCCCGCGGGCTCTTTCAAACCTAAACTGACCAGAATAAGAGCGTCAATGACGTCGACATCTTCGCCCTTGCTTGGCGTCACAGCAGTGACGTCACCTGTGATACAGGCACTGCCTCAGCACTTTTGCATTACGTTGCTCTCTACTTAATGTTTTGCTTACCGCGGTAGATGTGATTTAGGCGTCTGCGGTCGGCGTCAACTGTGCTGTGTCATATCCCTCTCCTGACATGCGGGCGACGCGACGCTTTCGTTGGAACAATAAATGCAGCTGTACACATTACCAACGGCCGGCAACGGTAGACGAGCTTCTTGCGTGTTATTTGGGAAAAATATTTGTTTCGATGCTGGAGCCTTCTGCTACCTATTATTTGCCACCGCTGCTTTATTTCTAAGTTCTTGCTTTTTGATGCATTAAACTAGCCAGATTTTTTTTAAAGCGCAAAGTAATCATGCTTGTGTAATATCACTCGTTGGCCCCTCTGGCAGTTAAACTATTGCAGCGTGTAACAAAATATTCTTTCTTTGTTCTAAGTTTTATTGGCTCTTAATAAAATAAGGAAAGAACCTTGCATCGGCGTCCTGGCTCAGGTTACGGTAGTCATGTACTGTGCGCGCCACAGTGTGAACACGGCATCGGCGCCTTTTCAAGTGCAACTCAAACAGGTCACTGTTGAGAACTGAGTTTTACTGCCTCACTTAGAGCCGCAAATAATACTGAAAGAATAAACAGAGGGACGCACAGAACAACGCATCTTTCGTGCTTCCGTGCCTCTGTCCGTCCAACTCTCTGTTTATTCCACTGTCCGTCCCTCCGCTTATTATTTCAGTATGATTTAGTTTACCAACACGCTGACGTCTTACGTAGACTTCCAAACAAGAACTTTTCGCAGCACCAGTATTTTCTTCGGGAACCTTTTAGTTCGTCAAGAAAAGCAGGCAAAAGTATGGCTTAGCGCATTTTGGTACTTAAAAAAAAAAAAAGAAAGCTTGGCAGCCAAAGTGATTTTGGCATGTGATAAGCCACCCAGCGTGTGCCGCCACCTGGCCACTTTATGAAGTTGAAAACAGTTGCATTCAAAGCAAGTGCTCAAATTGAAGTCCATCTACAGAAACCCACATCATCAGTCGGCTCCGCATGGAACACAACACACGCTCGAGCATTTCCGGCTAAACTGCGGCACAGGCGGCGACAATTCTTTGTTTCAGGTTGTCCACGCTGCTGGGTTCTGTGGCGAAGACTTCATTCTTCAAATAACCCCAAAGAAAAAAGTGAAAGCCGTTTACAACTCCCTGTAACGCCGAATTGGAGCGCAGCTCTTGAGGAGGAGGAGGGAAGGGTACTGAGGGGAGGGTAGACCCCTCCTCCTCCTTCTCCTCTTCCCCTCATTCTTTAATATGCTCCGGGGGGGGTCACCTGACCTCGGGGGGAGGGGTCACCTGACCTCGGGGGGAGGGGTCACGTGACTTTGGGGAGGGGGCCACGTGACCTCGGGGGGTCACGTGACCTTGGGAGGTCACGTGACCTTGAGCTGACATTGGAAGGGGTCACGTGACCTCGGGGGGGTAACGTGTCCTTGGGGGTCACGTGACCTGGGGGTCACGTGAGCTTTTGAAGGGTCACGTGACCTCGGGGTGACCTTGGGAGGGGTCACGTGACCTCGGGGTGACCTTGGTTACGCCGACGGCGACGGCGACGCCGCTCAAGCCATAAACGGGCGCCTAAGAGCTGCGCTCTAAAATCTAGCGGGCTCAGATCTGGTGATTGTGCCGGCCACGGAACTGGACCACTGCGTCCAATCCACTGCTCTGGAAAAGTTTTGTGTAGAAATCGAACAGCACGCGAAGACGATTGCGCCGGAGCGCCGTTCTGTTGAAATTACGTATCCTTCAGCACGCTGAGAGGCAGGTCGGCAATAAACTCTTCCACGAATCCCTCAAAGATTCTCTCCGTGTATAGTTTTCCGTTCAGTGTGCCGTCAAAGAAATATGAGCCAACGATTTTATCATTAAATATTCCACACCATACGTTAATAGACCACCTCACTTGATGTTTGTGCTGACGGAGCCAACGAGGATTTACGCTGGCCCAGTAATGGGCATTGTGGAGGTTCACCGTTGAATTTGTGCAGAATTGAGCCTCATCACTCCAAATAATACTTTTCAAGAATCCAGGATCCCGGTCCATTTCAATCAGGGCCCAATTGCAAAAGTCCAGTCGTCGTTGGAAGTGAATGCCACGTAGCTCTTGGTGCAGGCTAACGTGAAACCGATGCATGCGATGCTTCACAAGCACTTTCAACACTGTAGAGATCGTTGCCCCAGAAGACCTCGCAATTTCGCGCACGCTTGCTTCAGGCTTAGCTGTTACGTACGCGAGAACGTCAGTCTCGAATTCGCGGCTAAGGACATATTTTTTCTGTCTTCGCCCACTCACCACCGTGCCACTTGATGCAAACTTGTTGAAAACGCGTATGAAGGAAGTGTCAAAGATGAAAGAGCGTGTTGGTGAACATACTGGAGTCAAAGAAAGAATAAAAACATTTAAGGACAAGGACAGACAGCACAGTTCTTTCAACTCAATTCAGTTGAAAGAACTGTGCTGTCTGTCCTTGTCCTTAAGTCTTTTTATTCTTTCTTTGACTCCCGAAGGAAGTGTGGGCAGGAACGAAGCGACCTGGGTGCTGAGCGGCATAAAGTTGCGCAGCAGGACTATCATTCTTTTGCATAGTTAAATATGCGATCACCATGTCTGTTCTTTCTTCAACCGAGAGCCTTGTCGCAATGAGCGACGCCATTCAGATGTGTTCCTTGCCACAGTCAGAGAAATAAGGCACTGCACTATGAATCGCATAGCGCCTGTGTTATTTGTAGCCTTCGTCCTTCCGAAGATATGGGTGCAAACCTGCGTCTTTTACGTCAGAGGAGCAAGTCACGCAGCGTTCGTCGCTTTGTAGCACCATTGGCACACGTCTTCAGAGCAGCCTCTATCATATCAACGAAAGGAAAGGGTAGCGTCACGATGCCCGCTGGGACAGCGTGATTTATACCTGCCGCGGTAAGCACAACACTAAGGAGAGAGCAACGTATTGCAATAGCGCTGACGGCAGTGCCTGCATCACAGGTGACGTCACTACTGTGATGCAAGGCGAGAGCGAAGATATCGACGCCATTGACGCCCTTGTTCTGCTCAGTTTCGGTTTCAAAGAGCATGCGGGAATGAAATAATTTAGCCAGAAACGCCCGCAGAAATTTTTTGTGCGTTTATTTTGCTGTGGTGTTGGAGCATATTAAGGTTGGGCTTAAATTTCGTAAATGCAGTAGGCCCCCTAAAAACAATAATTAAAAAGTTAATTAATATATCTCTGTAAATTAGCCGCCTAGTTGCCAAAAATTCTTTGTTCCTAGTGGGCGCCAGGTCGGGTATGCTATTGGCATAACTAAAACTGCCCTAACGCAGCTCTTCTTTTTTTAAAAATTTGGAGCTAAAAAAAAGAAGCCTGTATATATGCCGGAGTCATATTCGAGTTGTGCTCCACATCTGCGATCAATTAATGACCTTTAAACGTTCAGAAGCTACACATACACCTTGCCTAGAATGGGACTAAATAGTGCAAAGCATCCTCGTAAAAAGAAAGAAAAAACCTCGGTGAAAAGTGCGTGTTCTAAATTGAGAATTCACTGCTTTTTTTTATGTTGATTTCATTGATACCTTGATAATGAGAAAACCTGTACGTCTTTATATTGAACTGCACAGGTCCTTACGGGCCACCATAATTCACGCATCTTCCACTAACGTGGCTATACCGGTTTCCGGTGCACGAATGCGGGCCACCCGGTATCGAATACCGGCCGCCTATACGGGTTTTATGGCCACCGTTAAAGGGCTACTCTCAACACCGGTACGGTATTATTCGAGAAAGATCGCATTGCCAGGCGACCGCTATTCTCGTAATGGTACCGGGATTTTCATACCGGCCTCTATACTGCATCTCATGAGTTGCGTGCAGCAGAGGTAAAAGCACAGGCGCGAGGGCCTGGCTTTCATATTTGCTTTCCTTTCACGAGCACTCGCGAAAAAAAAAGCGAATTTGAAAGCCACGTGCTCGCGCCAACGGCTTTGCCTTTGGTTCACACAACTCCTGAGATAGAGTATAAGACATTTTTTACGGATGAAAAAGAAGAGACAATATAACACCGATCTGAAACAAAGGTTCAATCGGAAAAGCCGTGCTAGAAACAAGAGAAAGAGCATGCGTCACTAAATACGACAGCTTCTTGCGAACAAGAAACGAAAATAGATAGATGGTTGGTGTTTCATTTGCTATGCCTTTTGGCGTGCACATTATGTTTGTTATGTTTCAAGATTCCTGCAGAGTTCGGTTTCAACTATTGTAAAATACCGATCATGCGCCCAGGTCGCAGAAGCGCCTACCCTCTGATTCGGAACGATCCGCAAATAAGCAAAGGGCATACCAGACACCCATCCACCTGTTTTGAGCCGTGCTCAAAATATTGAAAGAGCACATCAAGCGCCAGGTGCTGTGGCGTCTTTGCCACAATAGCGCCAGTCGCAGAGCTGACAGATCCGTGCCTGGCACAAGCCATGGCATGGCCTTTGGGAACCAGGGAATCGAGATTAAAGAAGTAGCGCAGAAACTGAAGGCGAGTGGTGAAGGTGAGCAGAGTTAACAGAAAACAAGGACGAAGGGAGGTCCGTCGCATGAGGCATCTGTGTCCCGTGCATGTAATTTTGAGTGTGCTGTAGGTGGCTACCCCAAAAAATTGTTACTTGGACGTAACTAATCGCAAATCTCTCTTGCAGTTTCCACGGCCCACAAGCCAGCCCGCGCCAGTTCGTTCTCGTTCAAAGGTGAGGATTCTAGATTTTTTAGATTGCTCTGAAGCAGCAATATTGAAGCCAGACAAGCGGTACGGCATATTTAATTGACAGAACGACTGGGAACGCTTTCACTGAAGCTAGTTTTGCTGCAATACCCGTGTGTATTGCAGCAAAACAAGCTTCAGTGAAAGCGTCCCTACTCGTTCTGAGCTCCGCCAATTAAAGGTGCCGTACCGCTTGTCTGTCTGGCTTCAGTGTTGCTGTAGGCGACAAAACCTGTGCCCAGTTTTGTCACAAGAGGCATATTATGTCACGCACATGTAATTTTGAATTTATCCGGCTTAGTGTGCTGTAGGTGGCTGGTCAAAGAAATTGATACTTGGACGCAGCTAATCGCAAATTTTTCTGGCGGTTTCCATAGCCTAAGAGCCAGCAGGTCCCAGTTTGCTTTTCTTCAAAGATGAGAATTCCAGATTCCCGAAGCAGGAATACTGAAGCCATACGACCAGTACAGCATTTTTAATTGACGGAGCTCAGAACGACTGGGAGTTCCTGCATTGAAGCTTATTTTTCTGTAATACAAGCGGGCGACATTGACACGTGCCCAGTTACGTCGCAAGAGGATATCTATGTCCCGCGCATGTAATTTTGAAGCTTTCAGACTCAGTGTACTTTACGTGGCTACTCAAAGTAACTGCTACTTGGACGCAACTAACCGCAAATCTCTCTTCCAGTTTCCACAGCCTACAAGCAAGCAAGCACCAGTTCGTTTTTCCTCAAAGGTGAACATTCCAGATACTCTAGTTAGGTGCGAAGCAGGAATAGTGAAGCCAGACGAGCGGATACGTATATTTAATTGACCGAGCTCAGAATGACCAGTGGCAGTGGCATTGAAGCTTATTTTTCCACAATCAAACGCAGACATAATTTTGAATCTATCCGGCTTGGTGAAGGATTGCTACTTGTGGCTAACTAATCACAAATTCTTATTTTGCAGTATCTATATGGCTACAGCTAGCAGGTGCTGTTTTCATTAAGGTGAGGATTTCACAATCTGTTTTCAAACATCAAGTTTTTGAATGAGAGTCCTGAACAATTAACTTTTTTTTGCAGTAAATGCCAGATCCTCCAGTTCAGGAATATGTTAAATATATTTGGTATGGATAAGTCCAGTGTTTTGCTTCTTTATTCACAATTTGACAACAGCAACATTTTTTTTAATTTATCACTCAGAAATACACACAAGAAGAGACTGCGTTGCAGAGAAATGTTGCGCTAAACGTTATATTCCAAATCGTATATAGTTTTATTGGTAGCCGATATAATTGGATTCCAATATCCATGATACGCTGAGTATATTGGAATCGTAAACCCTTATTGGATCCCATTGTGATGAGGTGGACTATAGAAGCGAGAAGAGAGGAAGACGAAGTGGGGCCGGGCAGTGTGGTGCGCGTGAAAAAGGGGGCTTCTGAAGGCAGATCGGCAACTGCGACGCTAAAAAAGACATCGGTGGGCTCCCGCGGTCCCGACGGCAGCAACGACTGGTTCTGGACGGGCGGCTAGAGGCCCGTGAGAGCTAGCCCTGGCCAAGGGGACCGCCGCCTACGCCGGAGAGCGAACATTCCCCAAGCCGACCCAGAAGGCAGCACCCGTGGCCGCCGCCGACGACGACGTGAAGGTGCGGTGCCTGACTCGAGTGAGACTACGTCATCTATTTTCGTTTTTTCTTCTGTACATAATACACCTCTCTTTCTTTCACTCGCCGTCCTCGGGTTCTTCGTCCTTTATTCACCATCTTTACATCACAATATCTGGCGTCCGCGACAGGACTCTCTATTTGTTAACAACCCCTAGAGAGCAGAACCCCGGGACGGCTGTGTGGGAGAGATAAGAGCATGGATGCAGAAAAATTGCTTGGTGTTGGTAAAGAGCTCGGGTACGTGGGCGAAGAACTCCGTACCTGGGTTGAGCAAGAGCGTGGTAGGCAACGCGAAGAACGGGTCAGATTGCGGGAAGATGCGCGGGAAGCAGCTAAGGAGACACAGGACACCGCTGACCGAGAGCTCCGCAGGCTCCAACAGGAACAAGAAGTGTTACAGCTGCGCCTGCGCTTACAAGAGAATAGCGGCTCAGCTCATGATGAGGTCCACCACACCAATGGCAGGGGAGAGAACTCGGGAGCACAAACTTGTCACCGGAGTCCCCACAAACTAATTCCACCATTTAATGAAAAGAGAGACGACCTGGACGCGTATATCCAAAGGTTTGAGCGGGTTGCAACTAGCCAGGATTGGCCTCGAGAAAAATGGGCAATGTCCTTAAGCTTGTGCCTCACCGGTGAGGCATTGACAGTTGTGGGTCGGATGACACCAGAGCAGTCATTGGATTATTCTAAAGTCAAACTTTCCCTGCTACAGCGGTTTCGTTACACCACTGAAGGGTACAGAGAGAAATTCAGGGAAAGCAAGCCAGAGGAGGCAGAGACGGGGAAACAATTTGCAGCCCGACTTCTTGGGTACTTTGATCGCTGGGTTGAAACTGGAGAAATTGCGAAGACGTTCGAGGCCCTGAAAGATCTGATAGTTGCGGAACAGTTCTTAAAATATTGTCACCCAATGCTATCAGTCTTCTTAAAAGAGAGGAACTGCAAGACGCTCGAAAACATGGCAGTAACCGCGGACCACTTCTTAGAGGCGCAGGGCCAAACTAACTTGGCAAAAAGGAACAATGACAGCCTGAACAGTAACAAGGGTGGAGATCGAAGTAAGGAGGATACCCGAATTCCACCCACCGCTAGGGGGAGGAGTCAATGTTTTCTCTGCAACAAGCCAGGTCACAAGGCAGCAGACTGCTGGGCGAGCACCAAGGCTCAACGCTTACCCGTGTGTTGGAGATGTGGGAAAACGGGACACAAGGCAGCAGCATGTAACTGGAAACCGCAAGACAAGCAGGATAGACCTCCTCAGGCTTCCTGTATGCTTTCCGTTCGACCAACACCTGACGAGACCGACCCAGATGACACATATGTCCTACTGAAAAACGGGGACAAAATCCCAGTGGTGAATGCGGCACTTGGAAAGGCTCCACGATTTCTAGTAAAAAACATGCCAGTGGTTCGGGGAGAAGTGGGAGATCGAGCTGCCACAGTATTGCGAGACAGTGGGTGTAACACGATTGTAGTGAACAGAGACCTGGTTACGGATGATCAGCTAACTGGGGTTTCCAGTCCGGTGTTTTTGCTGGATAGGACGGTCAAATATCTGCCAGAGGCAGAAATGGATGTAAGAACGCCTTATTTTACAGGCAAGGTATTGGCGAAGTGTATGGAGAACCCTCTGTATGATTTGGTACTCGGGAACATTGAAGGGGCGAGAGGGATTGATGATCCAGATGAGGAATGGGAGGGAGAAGGATCAGGGAGATCTAAAAGAAGTGAGGAGAGTAACATGCTGATAAGCACGTCCGTGCGGCACGAGACTGCCGGCAGGATGACCCAAGACGAGGGTGAAAGGATGCCAGACGACGGTGTTCTGGATAAAGAAAGAAAATACGCAGGGGCGCTCAGAAAGGGGCGCTCAGACAGCCAAAGGACGTTTTCCGAGTTACCAGTCATGACATTGGATCCGATTGACATTGACCACGCTAAGCTGAAGGAGGCACAACGTAGTGATGAAACACTGAAGAGGTGTTTCGCTGTCGTTGGCACAGCGTTTGTGTCGGGAAAATCGCAGGAATCCGAGTTCTTTCTACACAACTGTATTCTCTACAGAAGATACAAGGACTCGTCGCAAAAACAGTGGAAACAGCTGGTGGTCCCCAAAGAATTCCGGCAGATTGTGTTGAAGCTCGCTCACGAGGGGATCATGGCTGGCCACCAAGGAACAGGAAAAACCACCGATCGTATCCGTGAGGAATTCTATTGGCCGGGAATAACAGCGGACGCGAAACGATTCGTGAAATTGTGCGACATTTGTCAGAGGACTATCCCGAAACACTTGGTTATCAGGGCACCCCTAGAAAATATGCCTATCATTAGTACACCATTCCATAGAGTTGGCATAGATATCATCGGACCTATCAATCCGGGTTCAGAGTCCGGCAGCAGGTATGTTCTGACGGTGGTGGACTTCGCAACCAGATACCCTGATGCAATCCCATTGAAGAGCATTGACACCGCGGAAGTCGCAGAGGGTCTGTTACAGATATTTGCCCGAGTAGGCTTACCACGAGAAATTGTGAGCGACCGAGGGTCATGCTTCACTTCAGCTTTAATGAAGGAGGTCAGCCGCTTGCTCTCGCTCAGACATCTGACCACGACGCCTTACCATCCAATGTGCAATGGATTGTTCGAAAGGTTCAATGGGACAATTAAACAAATGATTAAACGGATGTGCCAAGAAAAACCGAGGTGTTGGGACCGGTACCTTAATCCGTTGTTCTTCGCGTACCGGGAGGTGCCGCAAAGCAGCCTAGGATTTTCACCCTTCGAACTTCTTTATGGCCGACATGTTCGCGGTCCTATGACAGTGTTGAAGGAACTCTGGACAAATGAAAGCATAGACCCCGAAACGAAAACAACCTATGGTTATATGGTGGATCTTCGACGGAGACTAGAAGAGACTTGTAAGACCGCCCATGAGGAATTGAGGAAAGCTCAAATGACCCAAAAGAGGTACTACGACAAGAAAAGTGGAGTTCGACAACTGAAAGAGGGAGACAGAGTCCTCATCTTGTTGCCAACGGACAAGAACAAGTTGATTCTGCAATGGAAAGGACCATTTCCAGTATTGAAAAGGAGGAATAACGTGGACTACCTAATAGACCTAGGAAGAAAGTCTACTGTATTTCACATCAATATGCTCAAAAAGTACGAAGAGATGGAAGTTCTATGTGCTCCCCGTCAAGCCCTGGTTGGCATTACCATCGAAGAGGAGTCAGAGGAGCAAGACATTCCTAGTGTCTGCCTTAGCCAACTGGAAGGCTACAACGATGTACAGATGTCAGAGGAGCTAACTGAACGGCAAGCAGGAGAGGTCTATCAACTGCTAGAAGAATTTCGAGACGTATTTTCGGACTGTCCCGGTCGAACCAGTCTCGTACAGTGCAAACTGAGATTGACAACGGACACACCAATTCAAGTACGCCCGTATCCTGTCCCTCTAGCACTGCAAGACGCTGTGGAAATGGAGGTAGACGAGATGCTACAACAAGGCATTATTGAGAAATGTGACTCAGCCTACAGTTCACCGGTAGTTGTCGTCAAAAAGAAAGACAAGACCACAAGGCTCTGCATGGAGTTTCGCCAACTGAACAATGTTCTAGTACCTGATTGCGAACCTATCCCCCGCGTCGACGTGATGTTCGCTAGAGTGAGCACAAAACGTTACTACTCCAAATTTGACTTTGCGAAGAACTACTGGCAGGTACCAATGGCTCCAGGGTCAGAGGACGCAACGACTTTCTCGACAACAACGGGATTATATCGATTCCGGTTTATGCCCTTCGGCATCAAAACAGCCCCGGCAGTATTTACACGGCTGATGAGGAAGATTCTTGATGGCGTACCGGACGCTCACTACTACTTTGACGATGTTTTAGTTGCGTCTGACTGCTGGGAAGATCACTTAAAAGCAGTGCGTCAGTTTTTGACCAGGGTGAGAGAAGGAGGACTAACGATCAAACCCAAAAAGACAGAGATTGGCTTCTCCAAAATAACATTCCTGGGCCATAAGGTTGGGCAAGGATCCTTCGAGCCTCTAACGGAGACCCTGGAGAAAATCCAGGACTGTAAACAACCTCGAACCAAAAAAGAAGTAAGATCATTCCTGGGATTAACAGGCTACTACAGGGAGTTTATCCCAAACTACGCGGAGACCGCACTTCCTTTGACGGAGCTGACGAAACAAAGAGCGCCTGACAAAGTTATCTGGGAGAACAAACACGCAAAGGCATTCGATGAACTGAAAAGACTGCTTTCCAGAAAGCCTATCTTGAAATCACCAGATGTGACGAAGATATTCGTACTGAGGACAGACGCCTCAGAAAGGTCCTTGGGAGCCGTGCTCATGCAAGAGCACGACAACGTTCTTCATCCCAACGCTTATGCTAGTCGTAAACTACTACCCCAAGAGGTCGCCTATTCCACCATAGAGAGAGAATGTCTAGCTCTCATATGGGCAGTAAAAAAGTTTCATGTATACTTGTTCGGAAGACACTTCACCCTACAAAGCGATCATCAACCGTTGCAGTACCTTAATTCAGCCAGAAAATTAAACAACCGGGTACTGAGGTGGAGTTTACTACTCGCCGAATACGACTTCCACGTCGCGTACATCAAGGGAAGCGAAAACTTTGGAGCAGACTTTTTGAGTCGCTTGTAATCTGCACTGGCACATCACTGTCATCGTGAAGACCTGTCCATCCCTTTCTGTATTGCAACTTTCTATGACAAGATGAAAACATGGCTTACACATGCAAGTTTGGTAAACACAAGCAATATGATGGCTTGCGAAACTGGGACGTGAGAACGCGAACAGCCAGCTGAGTGAGTGTCAACACCGGCCAAATTACTTAGTTTAACTTAGAAAAGTAGTGCGATGTTTCTTACTCTTATGTTTTTAGTTCGATTGTTCGTTTGTCCCTTTTTGAAACAATTGGAACAATTGTCTTAAAGGGGGGGGGTCGTGTGATGAGGTGGACTATAGAAGCGAGAAGAGAGGAAGACGAAGTGGGGCCGGGCAGTGTGGTGCGCGTGAAAAAGGGGGCTTCTGAAGGCAGATCGGCAACTGCGACGCTAAAAAAGACATCGGTGGGCTCCCGCGGTCCCGACGGCAGCAACGACTGGTTCTGGACGGGCGGCTAGAGGCCCGTGAGAGCTAGCCCTGGCCAAGGGGACCGCCGCCTACGCCGGAGAGCGAACATTCCCCAAGCCGACCCAGAAGGCAGCACCCGTGGCCGCCGCCGACGACGACGTGAAGGTGCGGTGCCTGACTCGAGTGAGGCTACGTCATCTATTTTCGTTTTTTCTTCTGTACATGATACACCTCTCTTTCTTTCACTCGCCGTCCTCGGGTTCTTCGTCCTTTATTCACCATCTTTACGTCACACCCATACGACACATGGGGATCCAATAAGGGTTTATACGGTATTGGATTCCAATATTTTCAGCGTATAATTGATATTGGAATCCCATAACAAATCCTTATTGTAATACAATACAATAAATGTAATGTTTTCCAATACACTGTCTATATTGTATTGCAATACAATAAAAAGATATTGTTTACCAATATCCATAAAACGCTGTTCATATTGGGGTTTTCCAATAGGGCCTACACTCCGTCATACTAAGTCGCCAATCATAAATTCTTTGAAAACACATTACAGCCATATTTTAAATTTCTTTTAAGTTTATTACTAGAGGCAACCTGCAATGCAGTTTGGCGCTACATGTTACGCCATCTAGCGGCTGCAAAATAAAGAAACTGGGTAGGCCAGGACTACGCGGGTCGCGGGGGCTGCGGTCGGGCGCATCCAGAAACCACGTGTGAACGTTGCATTTCGGATCGGCGTAAGTTTTTTTGGATCCGTTTTTCGTAAAAGTAAGACCCAACTTCACGTCTCTATAACCTCACCGGGTTCCTGTGACATCTCGCCTACTCCTAGAATTCCCCCCAAAAAATAAACATTGCTACTGCTGCATGAAGGACGGCCACAGTCGCGAAGGTGACTCAAGGATCAAACTTCACCACTTCCCCAGCTTCCCTTCGAGATCTTGGGAAGCGACACGGCGACAGAAGTGGATTACTGCATTATAATAACTCTATGAATTACTGCAGTACGACGCAACAAGTAAGTGAATTTTACAGAAACTGTTGGGAGGGAAGTGAACGAAAATATATGTGCAGGCTTGGAAAGTGGTCGGACGAACTCATTTTGCAGGCTACTCGGCAAAATAACATATTTATACAAGTTGCATTACGAGTCGCTTTGACAGCCACATAAGGGAGGTACGATAGGAACAATCGGGGCGATTGTTGCTTCGCTGTGGCGTCGAGAATGGGGTGATCAGGTCTTCAAGCGAAAGGCCCGTCGGCCCGTTCCGGCACTCCTAATGCCGTTCGGCACGCGTGGTCGCAACCAAAACCTTCCAAACCTGCGAGTTTTCGAATAGTGGATTTTTGTAGCGCAAAGTTTTGTTTGTTTGAGCAACCAAATTTAATGCTGAGTCTGGTAACAAAATGTGACGGCGTGCAGAAAGCAGGATGCTAAAGTTTTTCTTTACAAAAATCTCATCCGAAGCGTAAATATCCGTCTTACGCGTACACTTTGTTGCCTGTCGCCATTTTACACCAGGCTTTGCAATGTGCGTACGGTTCTGTAGCATGCAGAGTTTGGTTCTAATTACCCAAATTTTATCCTAGTGTGTGTGGGCGTCGGGAGGAGAGGACGGCCCAGCGAGGCGCGAGCGGGGCCAGCCGGCGAGGAAAGAGGAACAGCGTGCTGCGCGAGGCTGGGGCCGGGCAGGAACGATAGAGCCGTTCTGGCTGGTCTGGCCCATGGCGATTCCCGGGAGCATTCCACCAGCGAAGTTCGGATCAGGACCGGCGGAAGCGGCGAACCCTGACCTAATCCATGACGATCCCGGAGTGGTTCCGCAGCGAGACTCTGGCAGTGATAGCCCAGAACAGCTAGCCTACGCAACACTGGCGTGGGAAGGGCGATCCGCAGGCCTGGACACGGGCTCCGACTGTGAGCTCTGAACGACGGGCGAACACCAGGGTCGGCGGGTCCGGAGTGCCGGCTCTCAAAAACGGGCAACCGGGATGTACAATTAACCCATCCGCTGCCTTCTTAGTGTATTGTGTCACTTCCTGGGAAACGAGCGAAGTACAGACCGATCGGGCGGCCACAAGTAGTGAAGACAACTCAAACTGGTGTCCAAATGACAATTCTACAATATTCTCTCAGCACTTGGACCTAGCAAGGCTCCCGATTAAAAAACCGCATAAAAACCAGGGACGCAGGTACACACGGGGACTGCTGAAATCGGGGTCGCCGCCGCTCGCAACGGCCCGACGGGAAAGCTGGCCGCCCCATTAACAGAGACGCCTCCGCTTGTGGCGCTGAATGCAGTCGCTCTCGTGGCGCCGCCTGGCCATTGCCGGCTGCCTGTACAATCCGATAAAAGGGTTTCGGACAACAGAGGAATATTTGAGCATAAAACGACCATGTGACAATTAAAACGATCCTTCGATAGATTGGAGTACTTTTTTAACATTGTATATCAAGACCCCAACCATGCGCGAGGCCTTCAGGAATTGAGTCAACATTTGCCATCCACTGCAAATCGAAAGTGAAGAGTACACCCGGATATATCTTAACAGTTTCTAGGCCTTTTTGATTTACTGAAAAACTATATGATGGCGGTCATAATTTATTTGTAAAGGTGGCGTGTACATTTGCTTTATGTTTAAAGTAATTTGTCGTGGGTGATACCAAAATTCAATGGAGAGCAAGTGTCTTTGCACAATCAGGCTAGCATGTGCGGTCTTGATCAGTCTATGCTACACAACCATCTGCAAACTTTCTGAAGTAGAACGGACATCATGAGCAATGACATTTAAATTAATGAGCAAAATAGTTGTAACACAAAAAGAGCCTTGCGGCACACTTGAAGTAATATAAAACATATGGGATTATAAGCTGTTCATAACCATCTATCAGTTTCTCAACGACCAAATTTGAAAAACAATTTACAAACTTTGTCATCAAGTTTATAGGCACAGAGCTAGAAATTTAAAAATCTTATGGAACTTCATCAAAACTCTTACTGAAATCAAAAAATACCTAATGACTAGCTGAACCCACCGTCACAACTTGATTGACATAAAAAGGTCATAAAAATTTCAATAGCGTACTACAAGAATAGCCCCGATGAAATGCGCGTTGCGATGAAAGAAAAAAATTTAATCCGCGAAGGTGAATCATAATATCACTATAAAAAGTGTTTTTCCTTGTCTTGCGAAATATGTTTGCCAGCGCTATCGGTCGATCATTTGTGACACTGATGCTAGGGCCACTTTTATGCAATGAGATGACTCAAGCAACCTTCCCATCTAAGGCAGAGAAGATTCGAGTAGTGATTTTTCGAGCAGTACCTTAAAGCAAAGGCACCACGAAATAAAGGAAGATTTTACAATACACGAAGGGATACCATCCGGACAATTACGTTTAGTTTTGTATAAGTTACTCAATTGATTTACAAATCTATACATACTGAATTTAACTGCGGGCATCAAGTTTGTCGCCGCTAGATCATTGAGGTGTGCCGAAGGCGGCATACAAGATCTCAAATCCGACCGAAAGTGTAAAAATAAAGTTCTTCATATTTTCAGAATCGTTATCGATGAGAGCATCACTGTGCCTGAGCGTCGGAAAGGAAGAAATGTGTTTACTGTTACTGCAGACGTATTTCCAGAACTGGTCTGGAGAACGCCAAATGCTATTTCCTAAATTGACAAAGGCCTTATAAATGCTCTAACCTGTCTCAAACCGCTCTTCCGAATTATTTTGTTTAGCAAGATACTCGGAAGCCACATCTTACTGAATTTAAGACAGGCCCTTCACCTCTTGTTGAGTAATACACGCCGCTCACGTGTAAACCACGGCTTGTCACGTGCTCATTTTTGCGTATGCATACGGGAAGGAACGAACTCTTCCATTGAGCGAAGTATTTTTTTCTTAGTTTTATTCATAGGCCATTGATGTTCGAGCGTTCCAACAAGGTTTCAAAAACAGGAAGATAAGATTCGAGCTCAGATATCCTATCTGCCTAATCTGCCCGGTCATAAAATTATCCTTCGTTCACGCCATTTGCTCATGCTCACACATTTAAGTTGGCTTTAGGCACGACAGATTTATGGTCACTAATCCCTGGGACAGTGTTCCAGTTGTCAAAGGTCCAACAAGTGTTACAACGTAAACAATCCACCAGATGGCTCATATCATCATTCAATTTTGGTTCTAGAACAAACTGTTCAAGTGAAAAGAAAAGTCCGATAAGCTGTATAACTCAGTGTACAATTTACCACCAGTGGCACCCCCGAAGTTTTCACCATTTTATGCAATCGCTTGAAGATTCAAATCCACGCTAATATTAACGTGATCACCTAGGTTACTGCAAATATGTTTAACCGAGTAAGGCACTGAACTTTATGGCCGAAAAAAAAACAATGACTAAGCATTTTTCGTTAAACAGCCTTATCTGGCAAGCCAAAATTTCGCCATCTTGAGCGTTCACTGGAATCTCGGTAGGATAACTTTTACTTCAGAAATCACTACTTTCGTTGTCTATAAATTGCGACAGCATTTGTCATGA